CTTTGAAGGTGAGAGAGGGAAGCATCTGAAGGGAGATTTAGGAAATACGTTTTCTCATCAGGTGTTACAGGGTCTGCCTTTTCTACAAGAAGCTCCACACTCTCACTCTTAGCAATTGAACCTTAGGAGATGGGTTCCCGAAGCCAAGGATACCCAAATTTTGGGGGATCGTTGTCACATTTGGAGCTTTGTGAGAATACCAAGGGTCCCAGAATGTGTGGGGACTTGCCTATTCATAAAACGAATAGCCATGATTCATCACTAAGAAGAGGAGGAGGAGGAGGAGGAGGTTGTTAAAGGAGAAGTGACTTGGTCAAGAGCCTCTGTACAAGGCAGATGCAAGATCTAAGTTCTAAACCATAAACACACTCTTTTAATACCCAAAAGGATGCTGCGTAGCCTCATGAGCGCCAAGTGAAGGCATGGTTTCCTTTGTTCCCCTCTACAGGAAGGAAGCCCTTCACTTTTTTTTTTTAAGTAGCTGTTCTCTCAGGACTTTTCAAATGTAAAATAAACCATGAGAAATCAAATACATATCATGAAGGGAAGGGAGTCTCATGAGCACCAAGAGAGGTGCATATGGACTCAGTGGTACCCTTAGGAATCATGTTAAAGACCCCACCTATAAACTCAGAAGAATTAGCTTTTTAGAAGAGGTCATATCGTGGGTCTCATGTCATGGTCCTGATCATGGGCATGGTCAAATCCTGGCCTCATGACATGGTCTGGAGTCACATGGGGCAGACACCTTGCTGAAGCTAAGCAGGTTTGGGTCTGGCCAGAGCTTACAAGGAAGGCCATCTAGAATCCTATGTAGTATCCTGAATTCTGCACAAGAAGAAAGATGGATGGAAATGGGGAAATGATTTTAATTAGAAATGAATAATGTAAGTGGCAGAAACTCTGGGTCCTGGAAAGCATGATTGTACCTTCTGCCTGGCCTTCTTGGAGAGCATGGATCATGCGTTCTTACTGATGTTTTACTTCCTCAAGGCCCCTTTCAAGAACTAGAAACCAGCTCATCTTTGGCACGAAGGGTCAGTTGACCTGGGCCTGAGCTGACGAATCTTTCAAACAGTGCAGAACATGATGGCTTTTTACTGTAAATGTGGGCATAACGCCACCGTTAATGGTTGCCCCTTGACCTGCTCTTGTCTCGCAGGTCTACTGAGGATTTGAGCTGGAGCTCACGCTGTTCTGTGCCATATCATTTGGAGCAACGTCTGTTACTGGAGGGGGAGGCAGGGGCTGCGCGCAGCTTGAGGTCTGCTGTGTGAATGCCGAATTAGAAAGGTAATAATCAGTGTGATACTTGGCATGCATGCAGGGCCTTTTTAAAAACCTAAATTGCAGCCTGAATATTAATCAATCCATCTTTATGCTAAAAGCAGATTGCCTGGCAGACCGGTGACTGGCTCATGAGGCTGCACAGCTCCGGGGCTGCAGCAAGAGCAGGTGTTGAGCCCCAGAGGGGCAGCGCTGGTCAGCCCGGAATGGAAGGGGCTGTTATTCTGGGTGCACATTCCAGGGTCAGGCAGCTTCGGCCTCTTCAGATGAGGAGGAGCCCCGAGAACCAGAATTCTCAGACACTGAAACGGAGGAAGCAGGGGTCTTACCTCAAAGGCAGCCTTCCCAGGTGTTCAGGTGCATGCTGAGAATACTCTGGACTTACAGCGGCAGGGAGGAGGTGTGAGAGAACGCCTGCAGCCAGCCAAGCCTGGCACCACTTTTGAGCCCACAGTGCAATGTCTGGAGAGGTGGGCCAACCAATGAGAGGGGTGATGGACAGAGAAGAGGCATGTCCACCTCCAAAAAGGACATCCCAGAAGGAATGGGCCCAGAGGTACTCAGAAGAAGGTTGCTTGGAGGTAATAGCTCAACAACCACTCTGTGCATGCTCAGAGACACATTCTTTCATCTTTGTGCTTATTGGTAGTACCAGAAACATAGAAACAGAGCAAGTCAGAAGGGGTCTCCTGGGTGATCTAGTCTGATCCCCGGCTCCAGCCGGCTCCGCTCATGACATGCCTACCATGTGCATGTTCAGCCTTTCCTTGAACACGCTTACTGATGGGGCTTCAACCACCTCCCGAGGAAGCCCTAGCGGTCCCAACCATCAGCAAGTACTTCCTGGCATCCACCCTAAATCTTGGTTCCCTGAGCTTTGCTCCATTGGAACGCATCCTGCCCTCCACTGCAGGGAAAAAAAGGTCATGATCCACCTCTGCGTGGCACCCCCTCACGTACCTGTATGTTGCTAACATAGTGCATTGGAGAATAAAGAGATTTTGCCATTGAATGGGCTGTTTTGGAAGTGGGAGATTCTGGGTAGATGCAAGGGAATGCTTTTTCATGCAGCAGACTGACAGACTCAGAAGGAATGGGTGGGGAGGAAAGAGCTGCCACTGCCTCCCCCAGCATCTACCCTCTGAAGCCAGTGCCGCCTTCAGTGTAATGCCAGGGCTGCCCCCTGCTTCCCAGAGCTTTCCAGAGCCTAGGGAGCCACAAAGGAAAGGTGCTGGAGCTTCCCAACTTTGCACATTGGCTCACTGCTCGTCTCTCCTCTGTTTGCAGTTGCATTTGTGTTCACTCTTTGTTTTGCACAAAAGGGGAAAGGGCCTAAAATGAGCAGCTTTCAGCCATGAAAGTTGTGCAAATAACTGCATGATTCCAAAATTGCACGGAGCCTCTTCATAGACTAAAGTGTGGCTGACTTAAGATGTGTGTGGTTTGAGCAAGCTATGTATTTTCCAGGCAATGTTTTATGAATGTGAGCACAAATTAGGGATTTGCAGGCATTTTAGAAGAAAATGCATTCTTATTCCAGCCCAGGGTTGTGTATACTTTTGACCAAGTTGTGAACTTAAATTGCCATGCTACCCCAGTGGTGCTCTGTACCAATATTTTTTTAAAATGCAGAGGTCCATAAAGTTTTAAACATTAAACTTTGGAGACTTTTGCACATCTCTGACCAAACTCCAATTAGTGACCAGGATTTGAACCAAAAGAAAAAAAAAATGAGGAGCAGCTGAAAACATTATGAGCTGAGAGGGATCTCTCAGGAAACTGATGAGCTTTTTTCTAGGGGCTCATTGAGAAACTCGTAAATACCAAACTGATTCCAAATTGAGTGAAAGGGAGTTCTTCCGTCACCAGATTTGGAATGCACCCAGTAAGTATTTGAACCAGACCTGAGCATCTTATGCTATTGGAGCCCTGTGGCCATCCAATTTCTCCCAGTCACCTTTTAATTTCTATAAAGTCACACAGCAGTTTGAAGACCAGCTGTAGTAGTGCCCTCAGGCAAAAAAGTCAAGGGTATTTAAGCAAGCTAATTTTTAAACAAGAGCAACAAACTTTCTGCAGATGGACAAGCAAAGAATAAGGCCTAGAAAGCAATGGCGTGCTAACTGGACTTTCATTTTGAATGTTGCTAACAGCTAGCATACAAACTTAGTCTATGATGGTACAGGAATTCCCATGTCCCAAACAGGAGTCAGCGCCTTCGTGCAGAAGCAAGGCAATCTCTGTTTTTTGTTTCTCCACTCTCTAAGCATGTCTCTCTCTACATGGGGCTGCCCTTGAAAATGGTCTGGGTACTTCAATTGGTACAAAATAGAGCTGCCAGGTTGCTGTCAGGGGCGGTCATTATTGTCATATAACGCTGGTCCTCTGTCAGTTACACTGGCTCCCAATTGAAGTCCAGGCCCAATTCAAGGTGCTGGTATTAACCTATAAAGCCCTAAATGGCTTAGGTCCAGAAAACCTGAATGATTGCCTCCTCCCCATATGCCCTCATGCCCCTTAAGATCGGCGGGGGAGTCCTCACTCTGGGAACCCTCTTTGAAGGCGGTACGGGGGGGTATCCTTCAAGAGGAGGGCCTTATCTGCAGTGGTGCCCAGAGGTCTGCCTGGGGCCACTTTATACTCCTTCCTGTGCCAGGTAAAGACCTTTTTATCCAACCATCATTTTAATAATCAAGGGTTTAAGATGTTTTAAGATTTTTTTTTCTGTTCTCACAGTCGCATTTTCTATTTTTCCCTTCCTTTTCTTTTAGTTTATAATGTCCAGTTCTATATGTTTTTAACAATTGTGGTTTTATTATTGTATTTTAAACTAATATACTATTTTATACTATGTAAGTGGTCCTGAGCGCTTGCATGGAAGGATGGGATATAAATGTTTGTAATAAATAAATAATCAATAAATAAATGCAGCAAAGTTCCATAAAACTGCAGAGAGCTAACCTTCCAAGACAGAAAGTGAATGAAAAGCTGCTGTTACATAATCCCACTGTTCTCTATCATGACACCTAATGGCAAATTGCATGCATTGCAAAGGTTACAAAATGGCCTATATTTTAAATTGTCCATTCATTTCAATATAGGCCACCAGCTACAGAACGACCACTGCACATTGGTCAAGCAACAAGTGACTCTAAATCTTTCCTCCCTGCACTGCAGTTGGCATCCAGAGGAAAAGCCCTGCAGCTCATTAGAAAGATTCTTGATCAGGTCCGTAGCAGAGGAAATGGATTCAGATCCCTCTTCATCTTCTGCAGAGCCTGACTGACATTCTTTCCACATCTGTTGTCATTTCTGCAATGATTCACCCAGCATAAAGAAGTGAATTTCAAGCCACATAAAGTTTGGCCTCAGATGCTGGCAGAAGAGAGCTTCACAGGAGTGTAGGAGCTGGAAATATTCTTCTTCTTGTTGTTGTTATTAATAATAATATTCCTCAATACTCTCTGTGAATTGGGACATAAGATTCAATTCATGGAGCTTTGAGGAATCTATTGCTCATGCAGGAGTGCTCAGGATAATATAGCAGAACCAAAGCATTGATGTCAGTTAGCTGAAAATGCAGTGACAGATATCTGTTTTGTATGCCAGAATCGAGTCTAGTTTGATTAATCTTTAAAACTTCCAGTACCTGAGCTACTTGTCCCAAAAAGCACATGAAAGGCATCAGTTTCAGTGGGAAGCATCAGACTTACCTGTCAACGAAAGCATGGTGCAGTATGAAGATGGGATCATTAGCCGATCCTTGTACCTGGGACATCGAGCCGTTCATGTAGATGTGCAGTGCATTATGCAAACTGCTTTGAGATAAGTTTGATATTGCAGTACTTGGGTTTGCAAAGCCTGCCAGGGAAGAGGAAATCAAGCAGTGAAAAGCACTGAGGGTGCAAGATACCTAAGAGCCACCTTTCTACATCTGAACTTTCCCATGCCATCAGTCCCATACCAGTACTTGCTCCAGGTTCTTTTCGTGGTTGGTATATCTTACAGCACCCTTGCTATGCAGTAGTGTCTCCACAGATCTCATGGAGTTGGAGAAGATACTTTAATTTGCTAATTTAATTCAATCAGCTTATTTTTCAGCATTTGTATACTTCTCCATGTCTAGATACGTTCTGAAGCAGTGGACAATAAAAAGGTAAAACAGATAAAATAATAACAATGATGCATTAAAACTGGACTACAGCTGTGGCTGATCAGCATGATGGACTTCGCAGAACAAAGCTGTCTTCATTTGGAGAGCACAACTGGCCTCCAGTGGCAGGGGAGTCCATAAAAGCAGAGCCACCACATGGAAGACGCTTCTCCTGGTGGATTCCATCAGGCAAAGGTTCAGATGGGACCACCAAGAGAATGTTCTCCAATGACCTTGACAATCAGCCAGGTTAATAAGGGAGAAGGCCCTCTCTTGGGTGTCTTGAACCTGGGTTGCTAGGGCTTACAAACTAGGACCATAACCTTAAACCCGGTCTGGTAGTGAAGAAGCAGCCATTGCCGTTCCTTCTGCAAAGGAGTTGCATGCTGGAAAAGCACAGCCTCCAAAAGAGGTGAGTTGCTGCATTCTGTGCTAGCTCCAGCTTCTGGAGCAGCCTTAAGGGCAGCCCCATGTACAATGCATTGCAGTGATCCAGTCTTGAGGTTGCTAGTGCCTGTACCATGGCAGCGATGCAGGCTATCTCGCCCAATTCCCTGCATAATGCATTTAATCCAGAGCTAGATTGGTCGTTTTATGCCTGGATGTTTGTGTATCTTGGTAGCTTAAAGAAGCTAACTTCATCACTCATTTCAACTAAAATCTGCCATCAGAAATCTGAAAAATGCGACCTTGAACCCCTTGGTCATCTCTTCATTCATTTCACTTATTACAGTTGTGTACTACCAGTAGCCAATGCTCCCTGGGCAGTGTACAAGATCAGAAACCTTAAAATACAGTGTGTTGCATAATACAAAAGCAAGCATATAAACAGACAGCACAAAAACAGAATATGCAGCTATCTTTTTAAATAGCCAATGACACCGAGGCTTGGCTAGACTGTTCCTTGTTTCCCAGTGAGCTTGGTGGCCAAGTAAGAACTAAAGTCTGCATCTCTTCAGTGCAGTCCAACAATCCAACACCCGAACACCAGCTGGCTGTCATGTTAGATCATCCATCAAGCTTAGCCTGGATTGATTTGACGTGGCTCTCCAGAGCTTCAAGTTTTTTTCCCGTGGCCCTACCTAGAGATGCTGCGGACCTTCAGCATGCAATGCAGGGGTCCACCACTGAACTACTCTAGATTTTCTTTGTCTAAACAAAGCTGGCAAATATATCAGAGCAAGAAACCATCCAGTGCCCTGTTATGCCCAATCCCAGGGGACAGGGATGTTGAACATCGTGGGCCAGCACCTCTCTCTCACAGCCTCTTTCATTTTCTCTTGCCAGCAGATGGTGATGACAAGAGGCTTCTAATTGCAGTCATTATTATCTTAAAGCTGGTCAGACAGGACTGGCTTTGTGATATAGAGAGAGTAATTTAAAGGTCATTACTAAGTGGCTTTCATCAAGTTAAGACCCTCTGACTGTGCAGTTAGTTGCTACCCTTACCAGGAGGTCATTCCAAACTGAATTCCTCTTCTCCTTTCTATGCCAAGTGGATTTAGCTCCACCCTCAGGGAGGATCATGCTGCTTGCAGACAGGATGGTGGGAATGCCAGTTATTACTTAATTGATCTGCTCATTTGGCTTGCTGTGGACCATGGGCTGAGAAAGTCACACTCCTCCCCCTCTGGCTCTCCCTGCTCCACAGTGTCTTTCCCATCTCCAAAGCAAAGGCAATCAGGTTCTCACCATCCACTTGGTGTCTCTCAAAGCTCACTGGACCCGACATTTCTGCTAAACATCCCTAACCCATCCTCATCTTCCAGTTGAGGTTCAGAGCCTGAGCTCCCCACCTTGGAATGCTGTATTTTGGAAGAAGTAGATCCAATTCCTACATTAAACTTTCAATCTGTGAGCCAAATGAAACGGAGAAGCTCTCAGAAGATGGCTTCCAGTGGTGGGTAGGCCCATGGTTCCCCAAATGCCAGTTTAGAGCTTGTACTACCAGTAACTAAGCCTTGGGAGAGCCAACAGGGAGGCCCAAAATCTGGGAAAACACCACTGATTGATGGCTGGAAGAAAGGAGCTGGGAATTCTGGCACAATGGAACCAGTGATCTGGAGAGGTCGTGGACTCTTCTACACTAGAGTCAGTCAAGATGCAGCTGGACAGCCATCTTAGAGGGATGGTTTAACCCGGAGCCCTGCACCAAATAAGGGGATGTACCAGATGGCCTTCCTGGCCCATTCCAACTCCAGTATTCTATGATTCCTAGATTCTATGCTTTTCCGACAGCAAATTCCACATGTGATTGTGTTCTGTTCTGAGGCAGAACAAAACTGACCTCGCTACAGCAGGGACTGGAGAGCCTCTGTGGGGACAGAGAGAAGGGGAGGAAGAGGTAATGCTGGTGGTGGTGGATAGCTCCTGGCTGGATCATGTCCTGAGGATGCTAAGCACTGCCTCAGCGACTGGATCAAGCCCTGTGATTAGCAATAGTTAACAGCTGTGCAACCACATTCTGGACCCGTTGATGCAGCTGAACAGTGTCTAAGAGCCACCCTAGAATGCCAGAAAATGATCTTTCAGTCATCCACTGGAACTTGGCACGAAGCTCAAATCTGCTGTAATTGACCATTTCATATTCTTTTATAAGAGAACAGCTTTGCATACTCCCAGTATTAACCACTAATGAGGCATGATTTGCTTTAGAACAGGAGTGCTTTTTGTCATCATGCCCATTCCAGTTGCTCATGAGGTACTCATGTGCATTACGGAACACAGCTGGGAATGGCACACGAGCAATTCTGAGCTTGATCAAAATGAATGCACTTTATATGGTGCATCTCTCAAGTGTCACTGGCCAGACAGCTTTGTGGCAAATCATGACTGGAAGGCTACAGTCTGGCCCTGGTGGGATCTGCATGACCCTGTACTGAGCCCTCCATGGGCTGGACGATATAAAGGGGTGAAGCTACCCCCCACGCCATCATCCAGTCCACCAGCTGGACGGAGCTCTGCACTGGTGCCAACAGTGAGGATTCCCTCTCCCCCACTTGGATTCAAGTGCTTGGGGAAGGGTTTCGGGAGTGGAGAGTTCAGCTGAGGCTCTGTGGACCAGGCAAACTGGTCTAGTGGACCAACTCTGCCCTGCGCACTGGAAGTTCTCCATCAGTCCAGAAAGGCTCAGAAGGAATAGGACTTGCCACAGCATCCCTTGTGGATCGGGCATAGGAGGCAACTGCCCTGCCCTCCCTTAAATTTTTCTGAGAATTCTCCCTCAAGGAGAGCTACTTGTTAGCAAAGCATGAGACAGGTACCTAAGTGCAATAAAGATGGTGCCAGATTGCCAGTATGTCCCTCCCCACCATGACTGGCCTGCGAAAAGAAGGTGACATCCTTGATGTAATCCTTGCATTGTGCTTGGATCTTCTAGCATTTCATACTGACTTTATTACCCTTGTATTTAGTCTTTTTCATTTCCAGCAGAAACCTCTGGGTACCACTGCACCATCCACCGCAGGTCCATGGACTGATACATGCAAAAGGCAAGGTCTCAGCAAATTGAGCATGTTTCCCCTCCCCTTCCTCTTCAAGGATGCTCATATGTTATTGAACAGACAGTAAGGGGCATCTGATTTCAGAAGGAGCGCTCTGGGTATCAATTAGTCAGGGTTATGCATGGGCTCACGGAAAAGGCCGACTGCATCATTCTTTTTCTGTCTTCCTTCTGCTGGCTGGCTAAACTTCTGCGACACTTTGGCAACGCAGCTTCTCCTGAAGCTGGCTCTCTTTCAGAACAGTGCAGACAGGCAGGGCTCATCGCTTGACCGCTGCCATGTGCTGCAATCTTGGCGTTTGTGGTGGGCCATTGCCGAAGCAGCCGCACAGACCGATGGGCACAGACTCCTCACCTAACTGGAATGCACCACGGTTTAATTTTGAGTTGCTAACCACAAACAACCCAGGGAAGAGAACCTATGGTTTGTAGTGGGGTTGTTGTTGGGTTGTGAACTCTGGGTAGTTCGTGGCTAACGACCCACAGTAAAATGGGTTTATATGCTCCCCAGAGAGCCTGGTGCCACTGCTTTTTCCCTTTTGGTGCCAGGTGAAAACCTTTTTATTTCCCCAGTATTTTAATTGTTAATTGTCTCAATTTGTGGTTTTTATACTTATTATTGGATGCTGTGCTACTTTTATCTCTTTATCTTATTTGATTGGTGCTGTTGTAAACCGTCCTGAGACATCGTTGGTGGGATGGTATATAAAAGTTTTAAATAATAAATGAATAAATAAATAAATTTGCAAGCAAGCCCAACCCAGGAATCAACAACCCATACTTAACCCACACTCTGGCTTGCCACTGTGTGTGAAATGGGTACTGGTTGGGAGTGACCCGTCAGAGTTGCTGGCAGGAATTTTTCTAGCTCTTCCTCAGACATAGGAGATTGAACCTAAGAGCTCTTGCATGCACACAGCCACGGGCCCTCCCTTACCACTGACCAACCCCCATCCGGTGCACTAGGACTAGTGCAAACAGCTCTGGACAACTTAGGACTTGGGTCCATGAAGGGGCACCTTTTCCATTACTAACTTGGCTGGTGACTGAGGTGGCACAGTTTGGGTGGTTCTGCTGGACCTCTGGCCCAGCCGGGCTCCACCTGGTGAGCAGTCTTCGGTGTGCTGGCATACTTTCTATGGAATCCCCTCTCTCTGGAGGGCAGGCAGACCCCAACGCTGTTTTGTTTCCAGCACCTCCTAAAAG